TGCCCCTTTGCCTTCTCCTCTTGAGTCCTCTCTTCCTGCGCTTGCCGACCCTGAGTCGGACTCTCTTCGTGCTGCCAGTCCTACTGTCACGCGTCTGCTTGCTACTGTCGTCACTGACCCCTCTTTTGAGTCCACTGCTGCGTCTGCTCTAGTCGCTGAGCTCGTCGACTTTGCTGCTCGCTGTCGTCTCGACTACGCTGCTAGTCTTGTTGCTGAGTCTGCGTCTGTCTGTCCTCCGTCCGTCGGGGGTGAGTGTGCTCTTGGCACGGACGTCCTAGAGGACAGGCAGGAGGAGTTCCAGTGTCTAGCGGCTGCTTCACCTCATCTTGCGTCTGTACTGCTTGCCCCTGAGGGAGACCCGGATGCACTAGACATCCCGACTCCGCGTTCTTACGCGGAGGCCGTAGAGGGTCCCTACTCCTCTCAGTGGCAGGCAGCTATGGATGCAGAGATGGCTTCTTGGAAGTCCACAGGCACCTACGTTGACGCGGTTCCCCCTCCTAGGGCGAACATCGTCAGTGGCATGTGGATCTTCAGGGTGAAGCGGCCGCCGGGCTCTCCACCTGTCTTCAAGGCACGGTACGTTGCTCGTGGCTTCAGTCAGCGGCAGGGAGTTGACTACTTTCAGACCTTCTCTCCCACCCCGAAGATGACTACTCTTCGGTTGCTGCTGCACATAGCCGCTCAGCGCGACTACGAGCTTCACTCTCTCGACTTCAGCACTGCGTTCTTGCAGGGTAGCCTGCACGAGGAGATCTGGCTTCGCCGTCCACCTGGCTTCACTGGGACTTTCCCTCCTGGCACCCAGTGGAGCCTCCGACGGCCAGTCTACGGTCTCCGCCAGGCACCGCGTGAGTGGCACGACACACTGAGGACTACGCTTGCGGCTCTTGGGTTTGCTCCTTCTACTGCTGACCCGTCGCTGTTTCTTCGCACCGACACTTCCCTGCCGCCGTTCTACATCCTCGTGTACGTCGACGACTTGGTCTTTGCCACAGCGGGCACTGCTGGACTCGCCTACGTGAAGTCCGAGCTGCTGAAGAGACACACGTGCACAGACCTGGGTGAACTGCGCAGCTACCTTGGCTTGCAGATCACTCGGGACAGAGCACGCCGCACCATTACCTTGACTCAGTCACACATGGTGCAGCAGGTCCTTCAGCGCTTCGGCTTCACGTACTCCTCGCCTCAGGCCACTCCTCTGCCTACTCGCCACTCGCTCTCAGCTCTGCCTTCGGATGAGTCCGTAGAGTCGAGTGGCCCGTATGCAGAGCTTGTTGGCTGCCTCATGTACCTGATGACCTGCACACGACCTGACCTTGCATACCCTCTGAGCATTCTTGCACGCTATGTTGCTCCTGGGAGACACAGACCAGAGCACATGGCTGCAGCGAAGAGGGTATTGCGCTACCTGTGCAGTACGTCGGGCATGGGGCTAGTGCTTGGAGGGCGGAGTCCAGTGGTCCTTACCGGCCACGCGGACGCTTCTTGGGCTGACGACCAGGCTACGCAGCGGTCGTCACAGGGTTACACCTTCAGCCTTGGTTCCGGCTCTGTCTCGTGGCGGTCTACTCGCTCGTCTTCGGTTCTCGGCTCCAGTTGTGAGGCTGAGATCTACGCCGGGGCCATGGCTGCACAGGAGCTTCGCTGGCTCACCTACCTGCTGACTGACCTTGGAGAGCCGCCTCGTTCTCCTCCAGTGCTGTACGTAGACAACAAGGCCATGCTGGCCTTGTGTCGAGAGCAGCGCTTGGAGCACAGAACGAAGCACATTGCTCTCCGCTACTTCCTTGCTCGTGAGCTGCAGCAGCGTGGTCAGTTGCGACTTGCGTACGTGGCCTCTGAGGCCAACACTGCTGATGTGTTCACCAAGGCACTCGCGCCTTGTGACCATCAGCGCTTTTGCACCCAGCTGGGTCTTGTGCCTGTCTTGCCTCACTTGCTCTCCTCTTGACTTCACTTGTACTGTGACATATATATATACATGCTCTTGCTTGTCTAGTTTTATATATATATGTCTGTACTCCTGTATGTGAACTGGCCTCTGGCCCTGCTCTTGTGCTCGGACTGTGTGGTGACGTTGTGATCCACCCTGAGCTTGCTCTGCTTTGCTTTGCTTGACTGGTCTTGTGACCCCTTGTGCTCCCCCACTCTGCCTATGGGGGTGTGTCAGATTTATATGACATAGTTTTTGTAGGCTATAGTGGGGTAGCACATATGGGGTACAGGGTTTCTAGGGTTGTATTTGTACCCAATCTTCCTTAGTCATTTCATTCCTGTTCTCTTATCTTTCACACCTCCTCCCTCCTCTGCCATGTCATCCAACTCTCAGATGCGCATGGGTGGTGCTGAGCTGGCGTCTCAATACTGTCCAGGTGGCGGCCTCACGTGCTGCCAGCCTCTCGGCGACCAGTCTATCCTCGCTGGTAGGTGAGGAGAGGAGGATGGCAGGTGAGGAGAGGAGGATGGCAGGTGATGAGAGGAGGGAGTAGGAGTAAGCAGCACTCCTGTACGAGTAGAACATCTTCTGTCTCATTGTCTGCATCATGTCACAAGTTCAACTAGAACATTCCTCGGTTTCCCCACCTTGCCCTTCCCCTGATTTGGCCGACGTTTTTGCATGGGCGTGGGAATCTGACCTTGAGCTACGTCACCCTCACTCCCATGGTGCCACACGGAACCACGACGGCCTTTCTGCGGGTGTAGCATCTCAAGGCTTGAGTTTTTTTTTTTCTGTGCCGATTATTTCGTCTGGTGTGTCCTCCCTTGTGTTGAAATTAGGAGGTCGCTAGAGTAGCGGAAATACTCTAGGAAATAACGACGTCCCAGCGGCGGGGCTATGGTCACTCAGAGGTAGCTCTCCTGGCTTGTAACTTGGTGCCAAAGCGGCGGCCGAGGGTAGGCCGGACACAAGCTTGAGAATTGTGTAATGATAGCATGGCAGTACATTGAGTTATATAGGAAACATAGCAGGGAGGCAGTTACCAAGGCGCAACTGTATTACAGTTGCGCTGTAACGTTTCAGTTGCCCAGTTACTGGCGAGACCTTTCAGCTTCGGCAAGGGCGCGGTATTCTGCCGCGCCTCCAGGGTGGTTTCGCTTACTGTAGACGCTGCCTCCTGCTCAATTCGACCCTTCGGCTGCCACGCGGGTCGCAACCACTGTACGCGGTTGCGCCCCTGCAGTTCGATACTTGAGTCAACACCCCCGATATTGAGGGCTTCGCTTCTGCACTTCGAACAGTGCACTGCAAGATAAATAATACACAAATATATTTCCAACACTCCCCTCCACTGTTAGAAGTGTAGAATCCAAGAGAGATGAAATTCTCCATGTTGAAATTCTGAAGTCTTCGTCAGGGACTTCACCGGTACGCCTTGAAATGCGTCTTGCCAAGTCGCCCAAAATTATGCGACGGCGCGTTGAAGATTTCCTCCACGAAATTCTCCGTGGGTAGTGGCAGGTTCTGACCTGCTCCAGGAGATGCTCCTGGTGATGATAAAGGTGGTGAGCCAAACTGAATGAAGCTGCTCCCACAGGTCCAAGTGTTTGAACGCTTGCTCTGATACCATGTTGAAATTAGGAGGTCGCTAGAGTAGCGGAAATACTCTAGGAAATAACGACGTCCCAGCGGCGGGGCTATGGTCACTCAGAGGTAGCTCTCCTGGCTTGTAACTTGGTGCCAAAGTGGCGGCCGAAGGTAGGCCGGACACAAGCTTGACAATTGTGTAATGATAGCATGGCAGTACATTGAGTTATATAGGAAACATAGCAGGGAGGCAGTTACCAAGGCGCAAGTGTATTACAGTTGCGCTGTAACGTTTCAGTTACCCAGTTACTGGCGAGACCTTTCAGCTTCGGCAAGGGCGCGGTATTCTGCCGCGCCTCCAAGGTGGTTTCGCGTACTGTAGACGCTGCCTCTTGCTCAATTCAACCCTTCGGCTGCCACGCGGGTCGCAACCACTGTACGCGGTTGCGCCCCTGCAGTTCGATACTTGAGTCAACACCCCCGATATTGAGGGCTTCGCTTCTGCACTTCGAACAGTGCACTGCAAGATAAATAACACACAAATATATTTCCAACACCTTGTTTCCGCTAGTGTTGGGAAGAACTCGAGGGCGATGGTCGTGGGTTGTGAAGAGGGTTCCGCAAGCTTGGTACCGGTAGTATGATATGGCATGAACACCGATGCATATTGCTGTACATATTTTTTTTTGCCATTCCAGGTACAATGTGTAAATAGTTTTAGAAACTTTATCACATTCATTTTTTTAATGCATGCAACATGACTATACGGTACCATTTAATTCATAATTTACTCAACAGACCATATTGGAAACCTATAATTCTCTACAACCCTTGGAGCAGCTGCTTTTAAGCCTCCGTGGGATAACGCAGCATCCCAAAAGCAGGATGTTCTTATTCGTCAAAAACTGGTTGTGATTTGAATCCTCGTGTCAGATTTCGTCGTGCCGTGCGAATCCCGAGAAGAGTTCACCGCCTGCCTAGGAGAAAAAAGAGTCAGCGATCACGATATTCATAGCGAGTGTCATGGCGGTCGATGTGTCCGCTCATGTAGTCGACGACTTCCCTCCTCTCGGCTCGCTGACGCTCGAGGAGCAGGTGAACCCGGGGATTTTGTCCGACTCCTTCTGTTAATGTCGAATCTTACTTTCACTTACCGCTATTTTCGCTCGCCAAGGACATATAAAGCTGAGTTTGCGACAAATCGTCTAATTCCCGTTAACGGATCATCGTGCCGAGTCGCGTAAACTTACTGAATCCCATATAAGGAATTCGTGGTTAGAATCTGGAGGATGCACAAGTGAAACGGGTTTCGAGGAGGACGCCAGGCTTGTACTCGTTTGTAGCAGCAGCTACTCAGTGACAAAAAACTAGTCACAATTACTTAGAGCACTCGCTTAATGAAACCGTTACTGACGTCCAAAGCCAGCATGATTACTGGCAGCAGCATTGCTGGCGGTTCTGTCGCCTCTGGATGCCTTACCCTCGTCTCTCGTCCCATTCTTTCCGCATTCTTCCCCCTCTCTCCCCATCTCCCCATCAGGAGACAGCAGCATGTGTGGCGGTTCTGGCGGCGCGAAATGCCGCATCTCACAGACCCGGCGCATATCCCACCCGCGCACTCATCCCTTTCCCCCGTCCCCCCCAACCCCCTCAGAAGACAGGAGCATGTGCGGCATTGCTGGCGGCGCTAAGGGGCTTCCCCTCGTCGCTGGTGGGAATCCGCCTGGCTAACGAGAGGGGCTTGCGGCGGCCATTCACCCGCGCGCGTATCTTCTTCTGTTCTCCCCCTGCCCCCCATTTCCGCCCCCCTCCCCTTTCCCCCGAACCCCCCCCCGCCCCCCCAAGGAGACAGCAGCATGTGTGGCGCTACTGGCGGCGCTGAGGGGTTTCCCATCGTCACTGGTGAGGATCCGCCTGGTGAGCGAGAGGGGCGTGTGACGGGCCTTCACCCGCATGCGTTCCGTCCCCTGTTCTCCCCCTGCCCCCCTTCCTTCCCCCCCAACTCCCGCAGGAGACAGCAGCATGTGTGGCGGTTCTGGCGGCGCTGAGGGCCCTCGTCGCTCGTGGCGAACAAAAGGGGCGTGCGGAGGACGCTTTTGAGTCGACTCAAAAGTTTTCCCCCCATCCCCTTTCTCAGGAGACAGCAGCATGTGTGGCGGTGCTGGCGGTGCTGAGGGGCTTCCCCTCGTCGCTGGTGAGGATCCGCCTGGAGAGTGAGAGGGGCGTGTGGCGGGCGCGTGCCAGCCTCGTGGCAGAGGCGCCTGATGCTCTGCCCTACAACATACAGGTGCGTGCACTTTTGAGGCGCCTCAAAAGTAAGATCCGCCTGGAGAGTGAGAGGGGCGTGTGGCGGGCGCGTGCCAGCCTCGTGGAAGAGCCGCGCCGCCTGACCCACTGGCTGACAACATGCAGGTGCTTGCGTGCGTGCGTGCGTGCGTGCGTGCGTGCGCTTGTGCATTGCGGCCCCTCATTCGTGGAACCTCCCTCCCTCCCTCCCTCCCTCCCTCCCTCCCTCCCTACCTCCCTCCCTCCCTCCCTCCCTCCCTCCCTCCCTCCCTCCCTCCCTCCCTCCCTCCCTCCCTCCCTCCCTCCCTCCCTCCCTCCCTCCCTCCCTCCCTCCCTCCCTCCCTTCCTCCCTCCTTTCCCCTTTCCCTCCATTCCTTCCCTCGCTCTTTCCCCCCTTCCTGCCCTGCGTCCGCCAGGCGGAAGCAGCTACACTGCTGCCTTTGATCGCTGACACCGCCCTCCTGCGCCACTTCACAGAGCGCCACGAGTCGATAGTGCCACTTTCTGCCTCCTTCCCTTCTCTTCCCTCCAGGCGGAAGCAGCTACACTGCTGCCTTTGATCGCTGACACCGCCCTCCTGCGCCACTTCACAGAGCGCCACGAGTCGATAGTGCCACTTTCTGCCTCCTTCCCTTCTCTTCCCTCCAGGCGGAAGCAGCTACACTGCTGCCTTTGATCGCTGACACCGCCCTCCTGCGCCACTTCACAGAGCGCCACGAGTCGATAGTGCCACTTTCTGCCTCCTTCCCTTCTCTTCCCTCCAGGCGAAAGCAGCTACACTGCTGCCTTTGATCGCTGACACCGCCCTCCTGCGCCACTTCACAGAGCGCCACGAGTCGATAGTGCCACTTTCTGCCTCCTTCCCTTCTCTTCCCTCCAGGCGGAAGCAGCTACACTGCTGCCTTTGATCGCTGACACCGCCCTCCTGCGCCACTTCACAGAGCGCCACGAGTCGATAGTGCCACTTTCTGCCTCCTTCCCTTCTCTTCCCTCCAGGCGGAAGCAGCTACACTGCTGCCTTTGATCGCTGACACCGCCCTCCTGCGCCACTTCACAGAGCGCCACGAGTCGATAGTGCCACTTTCTGCCTCCTTCCCTTCTCTTCCCTCCAGGCGGAAGCAGCTACACTGCTGCCTTTGATCGCTGACACCGCCCTCCTGCGCCACTTCACAGAGCGCCACGAGTCGATAGTGCCACTTTCTGCCTCCTTCTCTTCTCTTCCCTCCAGGCGGAAGCAGCTACACTGCTGCCTTTGATCGCTAACACCGCCCTCCTGTGCCTCTTCACGGAGTGCCTCGCGCGCCCTCTTTTCCTTAAACACTTCCTCACGCCACCCCCCCTCTCCTGCTTCTCCCCTCACGTCACTAGGCGGAAGCAGCTATTCTGCTGCCTTTAATCGCTGACACAGCCCTCCTGCGCCATTTCACAGAACGCCATGAGTCATCCTGCTCCCGTGCCGCCATGGTTCACACGTCGCTGCCAGCGCCACCCCGCCTGCCTCTGGAGCAGCAGCACACGAGCCAGTGCCTGCAGGCCCTCGCCCAGGCCGTCCGTGTGTTCCTTGATGTGAGTTCTGTAAGACCGTTTATGTGTACGAGACGTGAGCTTTGGGAGCCATGAGCTTTGGGAGCCGTGAGCTTTGGAAGCCATGAGCTTTGGGATGCACACGTTAGTGTCAGCCAGAGGTGCCTGGCTTGGCCCTCGCTGGAGCAGCACCACACGAGCCAGTGCCTGCAGGCCCTCGCCCAGGCCGTCCTCATGTTTCTTGATGTGAGCTTATCGTCTGTTGAGTCGTTTCCATGCTTGCTTCTTATGTGTCAACCTGTGTTTTGACCCTTTAGATGCACACATTGTGTTCCTTTCTGTTCGAGAATTCACAAGTGCGATGCTTGCAATGTGTCAGTCGTTGTTCCTTTATCCCGTACTTAGCGTCGTCACATGCCATGCAGCTTTTTCACATCCGCCAAGCACAGCACCTTTGGCCATGGCCTTGCTGCCATGCTGCCTTGCTGCCCATGCTGCCTTGCTGCCATGCTGCCTTGCTGCCATGCTGCCTTGCTGCCATGCTGCCTTGCTGCCATGCTGCCTTGCTGCCATGCTTGAACGCAAGCAGGAGAGACTAGTCGCACAGACATCTTCACTTTCGTTGCACGCATCTATGCTTTTAAAGTGTGCCAAACTATGTTACCGCATGCCACCGCATCCCACCACATGCTATCCCATACTACGCTGTGCCACCGCACACCACCCCTTCCCTGTGCCTGGCAGAACACAGCCATGCTGCTATGCAAGCTGGAGAGTCAGTGTGAGGGCCATGGCATGAGGCTGCTGGAGCTCAAGCGGTGCATTCAGGTATGGAGTGGTGCCGTGTAGCTCAAAGCACCCATACGTGTATCAGAGTGAGGGGGGGCAACAAGTGTGCATGCGCCTGGATCGTACCACGAGTCTCCCTCTCCTCACACTGCTGCATGCAAATCCTCCAGCGCCGCTCTGTGTGCTGCCATGTAGCCCATACCAACTGGAGTGAGGGGGCAGCAAGTATGAGTGTGACTGGGTGTTACCAATCTCTCACTCCATGCATTGCTGCTTGGTTTTCCCCTCCCCACCCCTCCTCCAAGGCCCTTCTGTGTGCTGCCGTGTAGCTCATAGCAGCTGGAGTGAGGGAGCAGCAAGCATGAGTGTGAATCGGTGTTACCAATATCTCAATCCATGCATTGCTGCTTGACACCCTCCCCCCCGATGCCCCTCTGTATGCTGCCGTGTAGCCCATAGCAGCTGGAGTGAGGGGGCAGCAAGTATGAGTGTGACTGGGTGTTACCAATCTCTCACTCCATGCATTGCTGCTTGGCAGCCTCGCCCCTCCTCCCTGAATGTCTCTTTCTGTACTGCCAGACAGCCCGTAGTGGACGGAGTGAGGGTGCTCGCTCACACCCATCGTGAGAGGGGTGGAGGATTTCTGAGTCGACTCAAAAGCCAATGCTTCCCCCCTCCAATTCTTCTCGGTGTGCTTCCCCACAGCCCGTAGCGGATGGGGTGAGGGTTCTCACACCCATCGTGAGAGGGGTGGAGTGGAGGACGTCAGAGTCGAAAACAAGTGTTCCCCCCACAAATCTTCCTTCTGTGTGTCGCAGCCCGTAGCGGACGGGGTGAGGGTGCTGACGCCCTTCGTGAGAGGGGTGGAGGACGAAGGATGGGGATCCACAGAGGTTCTCGACGTGCTGCATGCAGCGGTAGGCAGAGAGGGGTATGCAGCGGTATGCAGCGGTATGCAACGGTATGCAATGGCATGCAGCGGTTTGCAATGATATTCAGTGGTATGCAATGACTACAGCAGTATGCAATGGTTCACAGCGGTATGCAATGGTTGCATCGGTATGCAATGATATATACAGCTGTATCCATTGGTATGGAGCAGTATGCAGTGGTTGCAGGGCTGTACGCTTGGCGTGGCGTATCCGAAGGTATGATGAAGAGAGTGGTATGCAGCGGTATGCAGTGGTATATATGCAGTGGTATGCAGAGAGTGCTTCACAGACAAACTGACTGACTCGTGCTTCAGAGAGTGGTATACAGAGAGTGGTATACAGAGAGTGGTATACAGAGAGTGGTATACAGAGAGTGGTATACAGAGAGTGATATACAGAGAGTGGTATACAGAGAGTGGTATACAGAGAGTGGTATACAGAGAGTGGTATACAGAGAGTGGTATACAGAGAGTGGTATACAGAGAGTGGTATACAGAGAGTGGTATACAGAGAGTGGTATACAGAGAGTGGTATACAGAGAGTGGTAAGTAAAGAATTCCCCTCGTTCTCTCCCTCCTCGTTCTCTCCCTCCTCGTTCTCTCCCTCCTCGTTCTCTCCTCTTTCAATCCATCCACCCATTCCCTCCCATCCCACATCTAACCCCTGTCCGACTTCCTTCCCTTCCACCCGCTTCCCTTCCTGCCCAGTCCACCCGACCAGATGTGAGGGAGGCGGAGGGTCTCATTCGCTTTGTGCTGCAAGCTACATGCGCCCCCTATCTTCACCTCCTCTCCTCGTACGTGTCACCTCTGCACCTCCTTTTACCCCATTGTGTTGTGGTTTTCTTACCTCACCTCACATTCCCCCTCCTTCCATGCACCCTCCTCCCATTGTGTTGTTGTTTTCTTCCTTCCATGTTCGTTGCAACCTCCTTTCCTTCATCTCTCACGTACGCCTATCTTTAACTCCTCTTCCAATTTTAAATTCGAAGTGATCTCTCTGTGTCCTAGTTCTGCAGTGTCACATTCTCTCTGTGTCCTAGTTCTGCAGTGTCACATTCTCTCTGTGTCCTAGTTCTGCAGTGTCACATTCTCTCTGTGTCCTAGTTCTGCAGTGTCACATTCTCTCTGTGTCCTAGTTCTGCAGTGTCACATTCTCTCTGTGTCCTAGTTCTGCAGTGTCACATTCTCTCTTTGTCCTAGTTCTGCAGTGTCACATTCTCTCTCTTTACATCTCCTCTCTTTACATCTCCTCTCTTTACATCTCCTCTCTTCATCATACGTTACTCACATCACATGCGCATCCTTCTTCATCTCATTTCTTCTTGAGCGGTCAAGTTTCATGTTCTATTTGTATCATGCCTGACCTGACTGACTCCGACCTGACCCGACCTTATCGGACCTGACCCAACCTTATCCGACCCATCCCATCCCGGCCTGACCTGACCCGACCCAGGCCGGCCCGGCCGGACCTAAGCTGATCTGTCTGTACTATCCCACCGTCTCGTACAGTGAGCTCCTAACCCGGATATCACCGCAGCTGCTGTTAGTTTCATTCTTGGCCCCGCCCTCCTCCCTACGCCACCCCTCCCCTTTCTCCCCCCCCACCACGTGGATGCAGGAGGGCAGGCTGGAAGACGACATTCACAGCGAGTTCTTCATTTCTGCATGCACCACTGATGCTACAGCCGCTACATCCGCCACAGCTGCTTCATTTACCCCCCCACCTCCCCCCCCTTTCTCCCCTCTCCAGGTGGATGCAGGAGGGGCGATTGGACGACGACATTCGCAGAGAGTTCTTCATTTCCGCATGCACCACTGCTCCAGCCACTACAGCTGCCACCCCACCTCCCCTCCTTTCTTTCCATGCGCCCCCTCCCCTCCCCTCCTAGGTGGATGCAGGAGGGGCGACTGGACGACGACATTCACGGCGAGTTCTTCATTGCTGCATGCACCACTGCTTCCACAGATACACACACAGCTACCACTGATGCTCATGCTGAACCCACCAATTCCACCACGCCTGTCACGGGGCAAGGGGAATGGCGGGGTGCAGAGGGGTGGGAAGGGGCGAAAGTGGAAGGGCAGCGGTTTGTATTGCGGTGCGATGCGGTGCCGGTGCTGTTCCGGTCGGTGGCTGACGATGTCCTGGCCACGGGGCAGCTGGTGCATGCGCTGAGGGAGCATGGTTACTTGAAGCAGGTGGGTGGGTGGTGTGGGTGGGGTGCAAGGAGGTGGAATGTGGTGCCAGTGCTGTTCCAGTCGGTTGCTGATGATGTGCTGGTGACAGGGCGGTTGGTACATGCGCTCAGGCAACATGGGTACTTGAAGCAGGTGGGTGTGTGGTGTGTGGGTGGGGTGCAGAGAGGTGGAATGAGGTGCGCGCATGGGGTGTGCTGGCCACAGGGCAGCTAGTGCATGCGCTGAGGGAGCATGGGTACTTGAAGCAGGTGGGTTGGGGTGGGGTATCGGCGGTGCTAGGAGGAAACAGGTGGTGTGTGTGCGATGTGTGTTCATGGGGTATGCGTGTGTGTGTGGCTGACGATGTGCTGGCGACGTGGCAGCTGGTGCATGCGCTGAGGGAGCATGGTTACTTGAAGCAGGTGGGTGGGTAGGTTTGGAGAGGACCATGAGGTGGGGTACTAGAAGGAAATAGATGTGTCGTTGGGTGTGTGTGCTGATAGTGCTGATGTACTGGCCAGGGGGGGCAGTTGGTGCATGCGCTCAGGCAGCATGGGTAGTTGAAGCAGGTGGGTGGGTGGGGTGGGGTGGGGTGGGGTGGGGTGGGGTGGGGTGGGGTGGGGTGGGGCGGGGTGTGCAAAGGAATTAGGTGTGTGCATGGGATGTGTGTGTGGATGGGGGTTGTATGCAGCAATTCAACGCTGCCCAGGGGGCAGCTGGTGCATGCGCTCAGGCAGAATGGGTACTTGGAGCAGGTGTGTGGTGGGGTGGGGTGGGGTGCTAGAAGGAAATAGGTGTGTGCATGGGGTGTGGTGTGTGTGCTACACGGGGCAGCTGGTGCATGCGCTGAAGGGAGCATGTTGGGCGGGTGGGTGGGTGGGTGGGTGGGTGGGTGGGTGGGTGCATGGTGCGCACTCATGCACGGTGTATGCAGTGCAATGAGATCGACCCCTTTCCACATCCTCGCTCTGGTATGCGCTGAAGGGAGCATGGTGGGTGGGTGGGTGCATGGTGCGCCTTGTAAAGCCTCTGCTTGGGTCAACACTCCCTCTCCCTTCTCCTCTCCTCCCTTTTACACACCAAAGCTGACTCCGTCAGCGGAAGAGGCAGAACGACCACAGATGCAGCTGGACAGTCTAGAGGAGAGCGTGGGTGCGCGCACGCAGGCAGTGCAGCAAACCATGCTAGACCTCACATTGAACAAGGTAGGTAGGGTAGTGGTGCATGAGATGCTGCTGGAAGGGATAGGGTGCGGGTGGAGAGGAGAGCGTGGGTGCGAACATCCAGGCAGTGCAGTGCATCATGCTTACTAGACTCGACCCAGCTTGCCACTTTACCTCCTGCCTCCGTGCCTGCTAGTACATGCGTGCATAACCTGTATGTCGCCATGCCCACCTTTACGCTTGCCTGTATTTTGCCAAACCATTTTGCCAAACCACCAAGCGTGCGCGATTTCCTGCCTTTCATTCCGCGGGTGCTTTTGTTCCCCAAGTAGAGGGCTAAGAACACAAGTCGATGCCCTTGCATGAATGATTCAAAAGATGACGAATAGCTTCAACAACACACATCACACTGCATGGCTGACCTTCTATTAACAAATCCCACCGTCCGTTGCTCGTCTTCCCCGTCGTCTCCCCCTGTTCTGACCCATGCCCGTCTCTTATCTTTACAAAGCAGAGCCACCTACTGGGGCACCTGCTCACCGTCAGACGAGTGCTGCTGCTCTCCCAGGTACACCTCATTCTCGTTATATAGTTTGTCAGTCCATTACTTTCCATCCTTCTCGTCAACCATTCTCCCACGTTCTGCCGCCAGTTTTGACACGTCTTCAATTCAAACTCATAGTTTTGAGTTATCTCAGAATTATATTCATCCATCCATCCCCCCCCCCCCCCCCCCCCCCCCCTCTATCTCTCACTTACTGCCCCTCACCCTCGCTGCACTCACTGCCCCTCCACCGCTGCCCCCAGGCAAGCTGACTTGCGGACGCCATGGCACTGGTGGGGGAGAAGTGGCCCTCTGCAGGCGACCCGTGCTCCTCTCATCATATGCCGTCCTTCCTTGGCGCCGCTTCATCAAGTGTTTCCTCGTTCCCTTCTCCCCACCCTCCTTTCCTCAACCCCCGTCACTAGGCAGACTTCCTGTCAGATTTCATGGCGCTGGCAGGCGAGGAGCTCTGCACAGCACTCTACCCGTGCTTATCATGTGCCCATCCTAGGCACAGGCTTCGTCAAGTCCTTCTCCTCCAAAACCCCCCACCCCACCAGGCGGACTTCCTGTCAGATTTCATGGCGCTGGCAGGCGAGGAGCTCTGCAAGCCGGCCAGCAGGGCGTCACAGGCTCGCATTGACGTGAGCATGCACCATGCCCCATGCCCCATGCCCCATGCACCATGCCCCATGCCCCATGCCCCATGCCCCATGCACCATGCCCCATGCACCATGCACCATGCACCATGCCCCATGCCCCATGCCCCATGCCCCATGCACCATGGACCATGCACGTTGCACGATGCAATGCACGATGCGTGTTGCGACATACATAATGAGGGGCCCCAAGATGTAAGAATGTAAGAGTATTTCCATCATCCCACTGTCATTCAATGTCCACGGTAGCCTCATGCCATAACGCCTGAAGAGACCCCAACTGCGATCTCAATAACTCCTGAATGTCTCCTTACGCCATCCAAGCCATATTCTCCTCATCTCGTCCCACCCCTTCTTTCCCCCCCAGCTCTCACTAGGTGCCTCTCTCCGCGCCTCCACAGCAGCCACAGACCCTATTTGTTATCCGGCCTTTTGCACATGTGTGACCTTTCATTATCCTAACCCTATTCTCTTCATCTGTTGCCCACCCCTTCTTCCCTCTCCAGCTCTCACTAGGCGCCTCTCTGCGCTCCTCCACTGCAGCCTCTGACCCAAACTGCGACCGCCTCTCTGCACGCCTGGTGAGCACGGATAATTGAGTGTCTTTTGAGGCGCCTCAGAAAAAGTCTCCTCCACTGCAGCGAATGACCCAAACTGCGACCGCCTCTCTGCACGCCTGGTGAGCACGGGTGGATGAATGAATGTATAGTATGGATGGATACACACATGTGCGCAGGTGAGCGTGTGAGGGCGTGTGTGTGTGAGAGAGTTACATCTTGAAGGATGCATTGTAAGAGCGCATGGATGGATATGTACTTGCTTGTGCACACATGCATGCACAGAAGAGAAGAAGCCCTTTCCTTCCCCATCCGAGCCATTCCTCCCCCTCCTTCCCTCAGTGTTCTTCCTGTGCCTACACACGTCCGCCTCGCATCCCCTATATCTACCTTGGGCACCTTACATACCTTTTGATTCGCCTCGAAATTCATCCCTTCACCCGCGAGTTAAGAACCGTGCATATAAACTCCTTTCATCAACAAGACGCCGTTGCCCTCCCGTCAATGCACCTCACCTCACGTACCGATTCCCACTCACCTGTCAACGGGAGCGTTGTAAGGCACCGTCCTCGCTTGGGAGGAGCCAACCTTGTGGTCGGATGTGCGGGGCTTGCAGCCGACCTGCAGCAGTGGGCACGGGGGCCACTGCACGGGGGCCACTGCAAAGGCGCCAAGCTGGAGGGCGCCTGGCTGGAGGGCGCCGAGCAGGAGGACGCCGCCCTAGACGCCTGGTTGGCGTCCCGGACGCCTGGACGGCGTCCTGGGAAGCTGGACGCCGAGCTGGGCGTCGCCACGACTACCCGGGCGCCTGGTCGACGTCGTGGGCGCCTGCACGGCGTCCTGGGGGTCCAGACACCGACATGGGCATCTGATCGGCGTCCTGGGCGTCTGGACGCCGACCTTGGGGATTCGGAAGGCGTCCTGGGCGCCTGGACGCCGGACTGGGGACGCCGGGCTTCCGTGGCCGACTACGGACTGCGCTGGTCGGCCAGGCGTGGTTGCCCGGTCGACCGGAATACCCGGGCGACGTGCGCGAGTGTCGCCAGGGTGGAGTCTGCGAGGCCGACCTCGGGAGTGGTATCCCAAGGTCGACGTGGCTGGTGGGCACAGTCGCTGGCGTGGAGTCTGCCAGGCGTCTACGTTGTGCACGTGACAGGGAAGTGCGCACCAACCAGCTGCGCGCACCTGTGAAGCAGGTGCATCGTTGTCCTGCGGTTGCAACGCTGTGCAGCCGACTTGCTGAAGCGCTGGCACACCGTGGACTTGCAACGTTGGCGAACCGCTACTCGGCAACGCTGGAGCGGTGCGAGCGCTGCTGCGCTGGAGCGCGGTCGACCGTGCTGCGCTGGAGGTCGACCAGCAGCCTATCTAGCACTGATGTAGTCTGTGATGCCAATGTTGTTGCTATCATTGTTGTTATGTTTTCCTAGTGAAACTCTTGCCAATTCTCCCCGTGAACTAGCAAGAAGCGTGAACACAAGGGAACAACTAAGTGAACGAACGCAGAGATCACACGAGCACACGTGCCTAGCCCGTAGTCTAGCTCCCGTTGCAGCAGTTACCTCCGCATGGTGCAGTGAGCGTGGACGACACCGCGACGTAGTTCAGTCTAGCCGACTTACCGATCGTGTTCGTAGATCGGCAGCCGTGCAATCACTAGCGTGCGTGTAGGCGACCCGGAGGTGATGGACACCCTGGAGGGACGGTTGGAGGATGCGAGGAGACGTCATGAGGCCCAGGAGTACGGGGCGATACCCTGGGCAGTCGTCGAGGCAGGACTCCGCTCCATGTGGGCGACGGAGCACACCCCTTCTCGGCCTGCCTCTCCTCGACCGGTGAACGACGATGGTGGCGTCGACGTGGGCGTCAACGCCGGTGGAGGCCAGGTCGGCAGCAGTGCGGGAGGCACGTCGAGGCAGCGTGGTGTGATTCACGCCGATGAAGTCGGCGGCGTTCAGGCGCGAGGGATGCAGTCGTCGGCGGCTGCAGGCTCTTCGCAGGGTGACGTCGGAGGTTAACAGAGTGGGCTGTCGCCGATGTCGGCGTCCCAGGTGACGGCAGGTGGGATTGCGTCGAGCTACGGCTACTTCAAGTTCATGCCGGACAGGATCTCAGTCACCCCCCCACTGGTCGGTCGGCCCGACATTCTCACCTAGAAGGAAGCTATCGAGCCCCAGCTGGAGATGGCCGGGCTGATCGGCTTCGCCCGAGGGACCGTGGCGACGCCGGGGGAGCACCACCCCGACTTGCGGGCGGAGTTTCGCGCCGTGCAGCTGTTGACCTTCACGGTCATCTCGCGGTGCTGCTCGCCGGGCGTGCAGATCGCCTTAAAGTGGTCCCGGGAGTACATTGACGCCGGCCACCGGGCGCGGCACTTCATTGAGTCGACGTACCAGGTCACCGACAACCTGTTCATCGCCCAGCTGGAGGGACAGCTGACGCACCTGCGTATGGGTGACGAGGAGACAGCGACTGACTACTGCAACCGAGCCCGGCGAATTCTCGCCACTATCAGGATGGCCGGCGCGCAGTACTCCACAGCGTCGTACATCACCCATGTCATGCAGGGACTTTCTAGCAGCTATAACCTCCTGAAGCGGCTGTCCATGGCGCCGAGCACGAGGGCGACGCTCAACGAGGACAACCTGACCTCGTACATCCTGCAGGACGAGGCGATGCAGGAGGCTGAGCGGTCACAGGAACTCTTGGCGCAGGCCAACTTCGTCGCCCCGACGAAGCAAGGAGGCCGACCAGGACAGCGCGGACAGTCTGGTGGCAGCGGGAGCGGTGGCTGGAAGTCGACCAAGGAGGTCGAGAAGAAGTCGATCAAGGACGGCGGTCGAGGAGGAGGAGGTCGACGTCGGGAGTGCTGGATCTGCCACAGCCCCGATCACCTCTCCTTCGAGTGTCCCGACCGCAGTAACTCCGACGACGACGACAAGGGCGGCCGCGGGAGGTCGAGCAGTCGTCGTCCTCATCGAGGAGGAAACCGGCCGCGCAAGGAGAAGCAGTCGACCAAGACGTCAACTTCGGCGAAGGACGCCGACTCCCCTGCTAGCGGCAAGGCGCGGGATGACAAGACGGCGTCGTGCTCGCTGGTCGGCGTCGTGGAGCCGACCGTCTCGCTGGCGCCGGAGGCCGGAGAGTACTTCCAGGCGGTGGTGGCAACTGTGCAGGCGAACCCGGCGGTGGTCCTGCTCGACAGCGGTTGCTCCCACCACCTGATGGGGACGAAGGAAGCCTTCGTCGACCTGCAGCCGAGCGGCGCCATCAGGCATGTGCGCGGCTTCAATGGGGCGCTGCAGGACGTCCAGGGCCGTGGCACCGTCGCCCTACAAGGGGAGGCCGGGAAGCAGGTACTCATCCCTGACGTACTGTACGTCCCGGGTGTGCGGGCCAACCTGCTGTCATCCGGCCAGCTGAAGGAGCACGGCGTGACGCTGCAGGAGGACGGAGAGGGAATGATGCTCGTCTCTGCAGCCGGAGTGGTGCTCGATCGGGCGACGTACTCTGGGCGTGTCCTCTGCACCGACCTGCGTCCCTGCTCAACGACGTCGACGTCGCCCACGACGGAGGTTGTGGCTCTGCGGGCGATCATCTCGAAGACGCAGTCGACGCCGGACCGGATGCATGCGCGGCTTGCACATGTCGGCATGGACACCATACGGAGCTCGGCGAAGAACGAGGTCGCCATTGGGCTGGACCTCAAGTCGGCGACGGACGCCGACTCCCCGTGTGTCTCGTGCGTCGGCGGGAAACTGGCGCGGCACACCTTCCCCGACCAAGGCTCCGACGCCGACGACGTGCTGGCCGTCGTGCACATCGACCTGTGTCGGCCGTTCCGCGTGGCTGCCAAGGATGGCAGCCTGTACTTCTTGCTGCTGAAGAACCGCAAGACCCGCTACGTGTGGGTGAAGCCGGTCGCCAAGAAGTCAGATGCGTTGCAGGTGTTCGTGCAGTGGCTGGCGGTGGCTGAGCGGCAGACGAAGAAGTCGGTGTTGATGCTGCGCTCTGACCGGGGAGGGGAGTTCCTCGGGAAGCAGTTCACCGACTTCGTGAACGGCAAGGGGATCGTCCACGACCTGACCTGCCCATACACCCCGTACGGTGGTGGAGTCGATGCGGACAATGCTGCTGCACATGGGCGTGTAGCACCACTGGTGGCACCTCGCTCTCCGGCAGGCCGTCTGGGTCCGCAACTGCCTTGAGAGGTCGGCGCTGCCGCCGGGGACGACGCCGTACCAGCTGCTGACCGGGAAGAAGCCCGACTTGTCGCTGGCGCGGGTGTGGGGCTGCATGGCGCAGTTCCTTGTCCCTGAGCAGCAGCGTGGTGGGAAGCTGAAGCCGAAGGCCAGGTGGGGCCTGCACCTTGGCGTGTCGGCGGCGAGCAAGGGCTGGGAGCTTCTCGACGTCGACACCGACCGAGTGGTCACCACGTCGGACGTGGTGTTCTACGAGGAGATGTCGCTGGCCGAGTGGAAGACGGAGCATGGGCCGGTGTCCGGCCGCTCGTCGTCCACCCCGCCCTCTGACACCTCGTCGGTGACGCTGCCGCTGCTTGCCGAGGTCGGTGAGCTTGCTACTGAGGACGTCGAGGACGTCCGCCCCCTTACCCCTCCCCCTCCGACCCCTGCCCCTCCCCTTGTGGCCGACCTGCGTGGGCTGACCTTGGTGTCGTCCTCCGGCGATGAGGGGAGTAGTGTGACGTCGCCTTTGGCCAAGTGCATCGCCGGTGGCCGACGTGACGAGCGGCAGGTCGACGTGGGTTTGTAGTCGACGTCGACAGGGGAGGAGCAGGTCGAGAAGCAGGTCGAGGAGCAGCGGCCGACAAAGGAGCAGGCAGCCGTGAAGCCGATTATGGAGCTAAGCATGGGCATTTGACCCGACCCGGCCCGACCCGTCCCGTTGAGGGCGACCCGTTAGCTTAACGGGTCGGGTCGGGTCGGGTTAGCGGGTCGGGTTTGACTCTGTTTTGGTGACCCGACCCGCCCCGTGGGAACGGGTATTTGTGACCCGTTACCGGGTCGGTTACACCACGGGTC